GATGTAGGGGTGAGGATGGGGATAGAGCGTCGGTCCATCCAGGAGGCTGCTGGAAGAATGATAGCAGTAGTGGCTGTGGTAAGTAGATAGACGATGGATGGATTCTAAAATTAAGTCAACAGGGTTTCCAGTGAGTGGAGTATGGGCTGAGGAAAGGAACCACTACAATTCTGAGGTTGATCCTGAGCATCTCAAGTGAGTGGGTCATCTTCACCCAGTATGGAGAAGCTCCGAGTGGAGGTGGTGGTGGAGGAAGAGAGAGGCTTGGTTTGGATGGAATTGGTTAGACAGATGGAGATGCAGGAGCAGTGGGTGGGTACTAGCATCTGTGGGCTTAGGGATTGGCCCAGTCTTCAGTGATTGTCCCATTTTGCAGTTGAGCAAAATGAGGATCCTGCAAACATTAAGAGGAGCAGTCAGGATTGAACTTGGGTCTCTGGCTCCACAGCCATGCTCTTCTTACAGCTATGGGAGGAGGTCGCTGGCCATTCTGCCCAGCAGTGGAGGCTGTTAAGGGGGAGCCCAGCTGTCCCCTGGCCAGTTTCCTTGTCTTCAGGGCTGAGCCAGGAAGGAGCCTATGCTTAGAACACAAGTGGCATAAGTGCCAAGTGGCCTGAGGCGCCAGCAGCCCCAGGAGTGCAGCCGGCCTGGCCCGAGGCTGCCATCCACGCAGCAGAGCGCATTCGGTTAGCATTGATTGCTCAGAGCATCTGGCCAGGCTGGGGGCAGGGGAGGGAGGGAGGACTGAAGGCCAGAGAGACTGGATACAAGGCAGAGCAGCCTGCAAGCTTCAGAGAGACCCACTGACCTGCCCAGGGGCCATGGGCAGGGAGGGCAGCCCCTTGGGTGCTCACTGGAGTGACTGTCCTGACATTCCTGGGCCTGAGAAAGCTGACCGGCCCTGTTTGAGACTGCACTGCCCACTCCTGGGCAGGAAGCTGAGGCTAGAGCCCCAGTCTGATGGCAACTAGGCAGGGTCTGTCCCACCGCTGCCTCCAGCTGTGGCCGGCCACTGATGCTCTGGGCACCTCATTTTCTTCTGTGAGTGATGCTGCTCCCGTAGGGTTATGAGAACTTCAATTAAAGGCCCTATTCCCAGAGCCGGATCTTCCTCGTTATTTCCTTTCCTGTTTCTGGTGGCCAGGGTACTGCAGGGCCCCTACGACACTGGACTGTGTGGCCTAGGTGTAGCAGACAGGTCCTCTCGATGCTGGCCCCAGTGTCAAGCTCTCAGGTTGCCCCAGCCCTGGGCTTGTCCTTGGAGGCTTGGCACCATTAGAGAGGGTGGGAAAACACAGGCCCACGTTTCCACCATAGTGCCTATGCACATGCTATTCTATTGCCTTTGCCTTGCTGCCCATCTGACCAGATCTGCTCCCATGGTCATTCATAGGCACACCCAGTGAGTTGGCTGTCCATGCTTAGCTTGGCAGAAGGTGTTTGGAGTTTGCAGGCCGATCTGAGGACACTGGCAGCTCCCTTGCCTGTATGTCCTCTGTGACGTGCTCAGGTTTGAGCAGACCCGCCCCCCTCCCACAGCTAAGGCAAGCTGCACAGAGTAGGGCCCCTCTCAGCCCAGTTCATAGGTCAAACACTCTAGAAGGTTGAGGAACTGTTGGCGTCACACAGGGGACCCAGTAACCAAACAATGCTGATTAGTGGCCCAGGGGTAGCCTCCTTCTAGGCCCTTCCCTTAACCTTCCCTATATTCCCCAGGTACCTACCTGGACATTGCCACCCCCACATGCAAATGGGCCATGATGCTCACTGCCAGGCCCTTCCACCACTGGCTTCTGTGACTTTCCTAGACTCAGGGGCAAGTGTGAATGGAAGAAGGAATGAATGAGGCTGTATAGCCGCTTGGGGAACTCATGCGTGTGGGAGGCTGGAGGTTTGGGAGTAGCAAAGCAGAAGGCAGTGAAGGGCATCTCCTAGAGGGAAGGTAGGGAGATCTGGGTCTTCTCTCTTCCATCCCCTTGAGAAGAAGGCAGCCCTGCCCAGGAGGGGCTTGAGGAGTCTGGCAGGAGAGGTGCAGGGCGCTTCCACAGAGACTTAGCTTCCTGCTAATTTGCAATCTTAAAATGCATAGCAAAGGCTCCATCCTCATTGTTGGTACATTAATCAGGCAATCAGCAGGGCAGGCCTCCCAAGGGCCTCATGGAGGGGGCACAGGAGGCGCCATGGTAATGCAGTGCCTGCCTCCCTGGGAAGAAACCTGCTGGATGATAGTCCTAGGACTGGCACCTGCTGGTTCAGGCAGGGGGTCCAGAAGTGGTCAGGGATGGTTGGGACAGCTAGTCCAAAGTCTTGGAGTAATACTACTGGCTTTCAAAGGCATGGATACAAACTTGGCTGAGCCTCTCAGCAACCTCCTCCCATTAGAAGAGATGGAGGTTCTGGAAAGCTAGCCTTTCTGACGTGGACTCCGGCATGTGGGAAAATATTAAAGGACAGGGATCAGCTGCCCTGAGCCTGCATCCTATTGGTATACTTCCAGAAGAGCCCTTCACTGTGTAGGAAGTGACTGCCCTACACAGTTCTCATGGTCTCATTGCCTTAGACCTCCTAGTAATGATAGCCTGTTCTTCCCTGGGGTAACGGGATCAGCCTGGTCCTGCATCAGGTCTTGCCTAGAGTCCTTTGTCCTCCTGTTGCCCTCTTTGAGAGAAAACCCCAATTCTACCTTCACCCTATCCTGCTATCTATCTCTTCCACTTGCCACCATCCGTTCATAAACCAGCTACTAAGCCCACACCTGAGGTTTGCTGCAGTTTGATTTTATTGCCCAAATAGAGCCCTGCCCTGGTTTCCCTGTGCACTGGTATTCCCTGGCAGCCCCTACTTAAAGGTTACCCAAGGGAACCCCGGGTTCTTCTGGGGGTATACAGAGACAGAGCAGCCACAGCAGGTGGAGAAACACAGCACAAGGCAGGTTGAGGGTGCAGGGAAAAGCGCTCTGTAAACTCCAGTGAGCTGTACAAATGTTGAATGGCATTAGTGCTAAGCCCACCACAGCCCCTACCCGCCTGCAGCTGCAGACCAGGGAGGAAATGCTTTATTTTCCCAGGACCCCCAGTGGAGACTCTGCTGTCTCATTCCACCTAAAATGGGAGAAAAACATCATGAATGCCCTTGAACCTAGAGTCTGGGCTACTCCGTGGGGGAAGGTTCTGGCAAGAATGGCCTTCTAGGAAGGCCTGAGCAGGAGAGCGGGTGCCAGCCGAGCAAGGGGATTAGAGGGGGCCTGTGGCCAGTGCAACCAGTGTGGGTTGGATGCTGATGGCGCAGGGCAGGCTGCCTTCCAGGTTACTGGGATTTGGAACTTCTCTTGCTCTGGCCTCCCTCTGAAGTATAGAAGCTCTTGGACAGAGGGTGGTAGGCTGTAGGGCACACCCCAGACTCCAAGGAGGAAGACTGACAGAGTAACATCTCCTAGAGAGAAATTGAACAGAGGTGGCTGTGGCCTGCATTCTGCCTAGTGGCTGGGTGACAGAAAGCAGTGCAGAGGACCCGCAGAGTATGGCCCAACCCAGAAAGGGTCCTATGCTGTGCCGACACTGCCACCGAGGTCGTAATTGCTCTGAGAACGCAACTGAACCCAATTATGCAAAAACTAAATTATGTGCGATGATTTTTATGTGCTGGAAACATTCAGCTGAAGCTGGGTGATTACAGGGGGACAAGAAGCAGCTGCCACTCTCTGGGAACCCATAACTCCCAACAGCTGGGAGCTGTCACTTAAAATGCTGTTTCTGTTGGGAGGGGGGTGGTGATTGGGATGGATGCTTGGCCAGGAACATGGGCAGCCCCTGGGCCTGGGTAGGAGTATGTCTGGACCCTGGGTGGGCAGGTTGGTCAGGAGGTTGGCTTCTTTCATCCCACATCATCTGGGCATATCTGGTAGCAAGAAGACTCGGCTTATATGCCCCTGGCACCCAGGCTCCCCCGGGGTCCCAGCTGAACAAGCTGGAAAAGAAGGGGCAAGAGGCCAACAGAGGTGGGGTAGGTCATGACTGCCTGGCCCATCAGGGTTTGTGTCTATAAGCCTGGAGCCTGTCCCCATCTTCTTGACGCGCCTGCTAGGCCACTTGGGGCAGCTGTGACCCTGGAAAAAAACAGGTAATGACAATCGTCCATAATGAGGCTGCTTCAATAATGAGCATGGGCCTATTACCCAACCACAGGCTGGACACATCCGAAAATAATTATTTTAAGGATCCATTAACGAATGTCTAATTAATGCCCAATTAGAGGGAAGCTACAGAGGAAATGCTATGGACAGTCAAGAGGCAAGACCTGATTTTACAGCCATAGCCTGGCAAGCTCAAGCATGGCAGTGAGATGCAGAAGGCCAGAAGGTGATTCAGAGGGGGGCAGCCTCGATCTGGCAGCATCATAGACCCCAGGGAAGCCTCATGTGTCAGCCCTGGTGTCACTCACAGTCCCTCACAGAAACATGCCTTCTGTGGACTGTATTTAACAAATGGAGAAACCGAGGCACAGGGGAGGTGTTGTGTGTTTGAAATTTAGAGCAGTATGTGAATGAAGCATCTCCCGAGCTGTATTTCCGTATTGAGATCGCAATGCTTTTCTTATTCTGGGGAATCATTTGAATAAAGGGATCGTTCAGGACTCCAGATGGGATGTTTGCTTTGTTAGAATCACTACTATTGAAGGCGGCTAACGGTGAGCAAGTGGCAGCGCTGGAGGCTGACATGCTGTGTTCATGGACGTGTTCCACCCAGCAGTAGCCCAAAAGAGGTGTTTGGGTGGGGATTAGAGACTTTCCGGACAGCTCGAGAGGTGTGGAGATAATGTGGGCCTTGGGCCCAAATTTCCTGTCCTGCCTCTTTGCCTAAGAGACCCGTGTGTACAGTAGAGCAGACAGAACCCCTGTGGGCCTCGAGTGCTGTTCAGCGGTCCCCTTTCCCACCCTCTGCCCCCATGCGTGTTCCTCTCCCGCGCTGCCCTCACAGTTGTTCTGTCTCTCTCCCCACCAGGGTGCTGTGTGGAATTGCTGCTGCTGCTTCTGGCTGGGGAGCTACCCCTGGGTGGTGGCTGTCCTCGAGACTGTGTGTGCTACCCCGCACCCATGACTGTCAGCTGCCAGGCACACAACTTTGCTGTCATCCCGGAGGGCATCCCAGAGGACAGCGAGCGCATTTTCCTGCAGAACAATCGCATCACTTTCCTGCAGCAGGGTCACTTCAGCCCCGCCATGGTCACCCTCTGGATCTACTCCAACAACATCACTTTCATTGCTCCCAACACCTTCGAGGGCTTTGTGCATCTGGAGGAGCTAGACCTCGGAGACAACCGGCAGCTGCGAACGCTGGCACCTGAGACCTTCCAGGGCCTCGTGAAGCTCCATGCCCTCTACCTCTATAAGTGTGGACTGAGCGCCCTGCCTGCCGGCATCTTCGGTGGCCTGCACAGCCTGCAGTACCTCTACTTGCAGGACAACCACATTGAGTACCTCCAAGATGACATCTTTGTGGACCTGGTCAACCTCAGTCACTTGTTTCTCCACGGCAACAAGCTTTGGAGCCTGGGCCAAGGCATTTTCCGGGGCTTGGTGAACCTAGACCGGTTGCTGCTGCATGAGAACCAGCTACAGTGGGTCCACCATAAGGCTTTCCATGACCTTCACAGGCTGACCACCCTCTTTCTCTTCAACAACAGCCTCACTGAGCTGCAGGGTGACTGCCTGGCCCCGCTGGTGGCCTTGGAGTTCCTTCGCCTCAATGGTAATGCCTGGGACTGTGGCTGCCGGGCACGTTCTCTGTGGGAATGGCTGCGGAGATTCCGAGGCTCCAGTTCCGCTGTTCCCTGCGCCACCCCTGAGCTGCGGCAGGGCCAGGATCTGAAGCTACTGAGGGCCGAGGACTTCCGGAACTGCACAGGACCAGCGTCTCCACACCAGATCAAGTCACACACGCTCACCACCTCTGACAGGGCTGCCCGCAAGGAGCACCATCCATCCCATGGCGCCTCCAGGGACAAAGGCCACCCACATGGCCACATACCTGGCTCCAGGTCAGGTTATAAGAAGCCAGGGAAGAACTGCACCAGCCACAGGAACCGGAACCAGATCTCTAAGGTGAGCACTGGGAAGCAGCTTCCTGAACTGCAGGACTATGCCCCTGATTACCAGCACAAGTTCAGCTTTGACATCATGCCCACTGCGCGACCCAAGAGGAAGGGCAAGTGTGCCCGCAGGACCCCGATCCGTGCCCCCAGTGGGGTGCAGCAGGCCTCCTCCGGCACTTCCCTGGGGGCCTCGCTCCTGGCCTGGATACTGGGGCTGGCGGTTACTCTCCGCTGAGGACTAGGGCACATTACCCAGCACTGCCACAAGTCCAGCAAGGAACAGAATCTTTTCTCCTTTTTTTTCCTAAGTGGAAGATCGGCTGGGTTTCAGAAAAAGGCTGCTAAAGCCTTCAGCCACAGTCTGGACCCTTCCTGGTGGATTATAAGCCCAAAGTGTACAGCTCTAGACAGGAGGGGTAAGCACATCTCGCCTGGTTGTCTTGGCCCAGCACCTACGGACAGCATCCACGCCAGCACAGGCCAGCACAGCGGTCAAAGGCACACAAAGTGAATCGTTAGTGGTGACAGGACAGGACATGTGCCCTATGAAGAAGCTGGGCCTCTGGTCATCTGGGAAGAAGGGCCGAAGGACCCTGCTGTCATGGGAAGGAGCAGGACTCGGGACAAGGCTCATCCAGAGACAGCCGGGGCAGCCAGCAGTCTCAGAGCACTCTTGGCTCTTGCCTGAGGCCACTTAGTCAACCTGCCCAGTCCAACCCTATGCCACCCTCAGTCCCTACCCGTGGGGGTAATGCCTCTCATTCCCGATGTCTCAGGCAGTCCTGGCAAACCCGCTGGGGTCCAAGACCAATCACCAAAGGAAAGATCGCCAGAGGACGACATTTAGAACTTTACTGGCAATGAAAGTCACATAGAAGGTGCAGTTTTATACCTGTGTCCACTTATATATATATTCTCACTTCCTACCCATACACCCACACAATATAAATATATAAATATATATAAATATATCAGCGCACAGGCCCCCCACCCCACTCCTTACCAAACTGTATGTCTTATCATGTTTATAAACTATACGGGGACCTATATTTGCTCAACTACAGATTGTATTGGTAATTTCTAGCAAGAAAAAAAGCTGTGGCATTTTTGTTAAGAATCCCAACTGGCAACAATAGTCCCTGGGCTTGCTGGGGCAAAGATGTCAATGGGAAGAGTTGAGGAGGAAGAGAAACTTCAGGGGACCAACATTCTTAGACACTTAGAACATCACCTTGTTTTTATATGCACACATGCCTGTCTGGCACCCTGGAGCACCCCACTATCGCTACTGTAGAAGCTGCAGGCGTTGGTTGGGGTGAGATGTGGGAAGTAGCTTGTCAGATGTCAGGGTGCTGGAGGCAAGCTAGGTGGAACAGGGGAAGGGGCTTTGGGGGTCTTCAAGCCAGAAGACAAGGCAGCATCCACAGTGTTAGTCCAATGGGTTGGATGGGCAGTGTCCTTCTGGCGTTTTGCCAGTGATGGTCTGTGCAGGCCAGGGAGGCTCTGAGCTCTGACTCTTGGGAGGCTTTAGCTCCAGTTTTAACTCGTAGGCTCTTTGGCCAGTGACCTGCTGAAGGCCCTCTGTAGTGTGGCAGTGGAGAAGAATCTAGTGGCCTTAGTAGACAAGGACACTTCAGTAACCATCTCAGGTCATTCGGGATATACCCCAGGACGATAGAGGTCAGAGGGCCAGACTCAGGGGTCAGAGCCTGGACAGGCAGCATGCACAGAATCCAGCAGGTAAGCTTAGTCAGGGAATAGGGGCTGTTGGTCTGAAGGTCTCCAGCAAGCACAATCTCTTGTGCTTTACACAAATCTGAATCCTCTACCAGAGGGTGTGAGAGGAATAAGAAATGCTGAATCCAATTAAGAGAGAAAAATAATAAAAAAAAATTCTCTTGGAAAAGAACCCTGTTTTTCATTTCATAACCCCACATTCCTAATGGGGTGGCAGATCCTGGGCTTTGGTGGGGTGGGTGAGCCTGGCCAGGTTTGACTTGAAGAACACAGCATGGTTATTGGCAAGAGAAGCCATAGGGAACAGAGGCACACTGACTCACAGGAACACACATGAACAAGCTCTCTCTCTGTCTCTCCTCCCCTCCGTCCCTCTCTCTCTTTGTCTCTCCCCCATTCCCCCCCTCACACACACACAGACACACACACATAAACACACAGACAAACACATTCACACAGAGACACACACACATAAACACACTCACAGACACACAGTCACACACACAGAGACATACACACACACACACACACACACACACACACACACACATACACACAGTTCTTCCAGCACCAGCATAGAACACAATTCACTTCCCGCATGCTGGCTGCCCAGGTCAGTACCATTTCCGTCTTTTTCCTGCAGGAGGGTTCCGAAAAGCCACAGCTGCTGATTCTGGGTGTCAGCAGAAAGACAACAGCCAGTTCTTGGGCCTCAAGCATTTCCCACAGTCCAGGAATTGACCAGGACAGCAGAGGGCAAGGGCCTGGAAGCTATGTCTGCCTCTCTGGCATCACAGATGGAGAGCAGAGGGCTGTTTTTAGTACGAGATTCAGTGCATTCACGAATGGGCGCCTTGTGCTGCAAAACAAATAATTGCCATCCTGCCACCATGCCTGATGGTTTACCTGCTCTTACCCAGGCCAATGCCCATGTCCCTTAAAATTCAAGCAAGTTGTTACATTCTAACCCTAGGCAGCAAGACCCTCAGTGGTAAAATCAAATATCTGAGCACTTTATAAGTCCTATATGGTAGAAGCCATTGTCATTCGGAAGAGTGGGAATGTCTCCTAAAGATTCCACCGATGTGTGCCAGCATAAAATCCCTGTGGTCTAGGCTTTCCAGGCTGGGCAGTGGGGCCCAGGACACTGGGTGTAATTTTAGTAGCTTTCTCCCCTAGGAGGTAGAAGGGATGAAGGCTGTTGCTGATGACATCATTTGTCACTCAACAGCTCATATGCTGCACAGTTAGGGTGACACCATTGTTCCAAAATCAAAACCAGTTGACTCTCAGAAGCTAAATGGAGCTCCTTTCAGCAAGCCCAGCTACTCCCCCCCACCACCACCACCACACTAGCATTCAGGGCAGGGTGCTGTGGAGTCCTGTTCCCTAAAGGTTTCGGTCAAGTCACATACACACACACACACACACACACACACACACACGCGCGCACACACGCGCGCACGCACGCACGCACCGCCCCCCCATCCCATCCCCAATAAGGAGCAGAACAGTTCCTCTGCCATTTTTTTTAAATTTTGTTTTGTTTTTTTTTTTGAGACAAGGCCTTGAACTCACTATGTAGCTAAGGAGGCTGCCCTTGAACTCCTGATCCTCCTGCCTCTATCTCTCAAAGGACCCACTCCTGGCTTGATGGAATTAGAGTGTTTTGGGGGCCTAAGGCGATGCGTGAGTTGGTAAAGCACTTGCTGTGCAAGCATAAGGACTGAGTCCCAATCTGCAGCATCTATGTGTAAGCACGGTGTACTCCTGTAATCCTGACCTACACTGGGGATTCAATGAGAGGCCTTCTCTCAAGGAATAAGGTGGAGAGGGCTGGAGTAATGGCTCAGTGATTAAGAGTACAGGCTTCTCTTCAAGAGGTCCTGAGTTCAATTCCCAGCAACCACATGGTGGCTCACAATCATCTGTAATGAGATCTGGTGCCCTCTTCTGATGTGCAGGCATACATACAGACAGAACACTGTGTACATAATAAGTAAATAAATCTTAAAAAAAAAAAAAAAAAAAAAAAAGAATAAGGTGGCGGGCCAGCAAGATGGCTCAGCAGATAAAGACACTTGCTGTGCAAACTTCATGACCTGAGTGCCATCCCTAGAAACCAAATAAAAGGGGTAGGAGAGTACCGAACCCACAAAGATATCCTCTGACCTGTGAGTACCACCCACACTCACAGCACATAACACACTAATAGTCATAGTAACAATATATTTAAAAGAAAATAAGGCAGAGAGGGACTGAAGGAGAAACCTCTGGCCTCTATATACATATGCACAGCATATATATTGCACCCATACACATGAACACATCCCTGACATCCCCAAGTATATTTTGCATGTCGAGCATATTCTGACCACACACACACACACACACACACACACACACCCTCCTCCCCTTTCTTGCCCCTCCTGTCTCTCATAAGTCCCCTTTGTCTTCTACGTTTACTTCTACTTTGTCTCCTAATTTTACTTCTTTCTTTTTCTTAAAAAAAAAGTATTTTATTTTTACTTTATGTGCATTGGTGTTTTGCCAGCATGTATGTCTGTGGGAGGGTGTCGGATTCCCCTGGAACAAGAGTTACAGACAGTTATGAACTGCCATGTGGACGCTGGGAATTGAACTTGGGTCCTCTGGAAGGAAGATCAGCCGGTGCTCTTAACTGCTGAGCCATCTCTCCAGCCCCCTACCTTCATATCCTACAAATATACATGCATACATCATACATGGTTTCATAGGCTTATACAAAATGTAAAAAGCACAAATGGAAGAAAATTATGATTTTTTAGATGGGTTTACTTTATTTAATATTATCATTGCCAGTTGGCCATCTGCTGTTTTTGTTGTTGTTGTTGATGGTTTTAGACAGGGTCTTGTGTTGCCCAGGCTGCTCTTGAGCTGGGGATGACCTTGAACTTCTGATCCTCCTGACTGTACCTCCTGAGTGCTGGGAGTCAAGCATGTGCCTCCACACCTAGGTTATGTGGTGCTGGGGATTAAACCCAGACCTTTGTGCATGCTAGGCAAGCACTCTCGCAACCGACTTGTCCCACACCCATACTGCCATTTTACTCATCGCTGTTTGGGAACCCCAGGAGAGATCATCTCTTTCCTTTATCTCACCTCCCCGCAGCAGCCTTCTATTCTAAAGTGACAAGGGCAGGGCCAGGCATGTGGGGACAAGCTTCTTCCATGACCCAAGGGCTTGGATGGCTCCTCATTATTCATGCAGCAAGCAAATGGATCAGCCATTGTCTATGCTTGGGGGACAGGAAAGTGAGAAGATAGGCTCTCTGAGGAGCAGAGAGGCCCAAGCCTTCTGGAGAACTGCAGAACTGGAGCCTGTGTTAGCAAAGTCCTCGAAAACAAGGAGCTCAGCTGGGAAAGGAGAGTCAGGGAGGGTGTCCAGGAGGAGGTGATGATGCAACAGTCTCTGAAGAAAGAGAGGTATCCAGAGAAGAACACGGGAGAGGTTGGAGGCACACAGTGGCTCAGCTTCTGAGGATCTCTGCAAACAGCTATGAGCTAAGGATGGAATGCTGTTGGCTGGGAT